CAGGGCCTGAACGTGAAAGAGGTTTCCAGGCTTTGCGGCAGGAACGCAAAGAAGGCTTATAGGTGACGTGGAGCATAAATATGGCTGAGATTTGTTATACTGTGACGTAGAAATCTGTAATAGTTGAAATACTGTGACCTTTGCGGGTACCATGACGTAAAATGCAGAAGGTTTGTAGATATCACGACGTAGATTTCCAGGGTTTTGGAGTTGTCAAAAACGAGAATGTGTAAGAAATTTATCATAATTTACTTGTTGTTCTGTTGTAATTTTTGCACTGAAATCCCAGGGGGGCGAAAATTAAAACGGCATTGTTTGGGGCAAATATTTTGGATTGGATAAATCGCAACAGATTTGGTTTGACGCAGCGCGATTTCTGGGGGGTTAACTTCCGCCAACCGATATGAGGTGCTTAACAATGTGTGAATCAAAAAAAATCGGGTTACAGAGCTGAACAACGAAGAGCAAAGTTATTGTCAAGCGTATAGGAGCATCCCAGTAATATCACTGATAATTTACACTTTTTTCAATTGCCAAGCATGACACATATATGCCAGCATACACACACACACACACACACACACACACACATGTCATGAGCTTGGTACATAAGAAGCGAAATACAAAAGACACTAAAGCACAGCGATGACTCACAGCTTTTAAGATCAGCACAGCTGAAAATAATTGTGGCACTTTAACGTACAATATCTGCGAAGGAGAGGCCACAGAGCAGAGCTGTTAATATGTACTTCCCGCACCTCTAGCCCGGGCGGTTTTGCTCTTCTTTGTGTGAGCTTAAAATTTTTGCCAGTTCTTGCTAGCGTAAAAATTTTGCTAGGTCCGTGTTTACAGCTAAGGGATGAAACACAGGCTGCATCGTAAAATGTCTTTATGTACACATAACACCTAAGTCCAGTCCTCCTACTTTTCATGTATTGGTTACAGAGATGTGTTCCCGAGAAACCGAATTCACAGTGGCAAAGCATTCGGTGCGTTTCCTGAGCGTTCTGCTGGATGGCTGTGTGTTTATATGGATTGGTGACAAGAATCGATTGGATGCACTCTGTTTCTCGCAGCTGTTGAAGGGCATGACAATCATTGAGTCACCGAAACCGAATCATCTCACCGATAGTTTTGCTGTGAAACTCAATAAATTGTTTCCGGACAAACAGGTACCAATTTCTCCACTGTT